CTTGCAAAACATGTTTCTGACATCCATGGTATAATTCAAGAATATACTTGTCGTGTTAAGCGAGGAATTATTATATTATATTTTACAAATCTTAAGTAAAAGGTTAATCATTTTTGTGTATATGAAGAAGAATAAATATACCAATACCCATTCAAGTGAATCATAGTTTTAGAATAAAAATACTTACTGAAAAAAAAAATCCTCCTTAGAGCAAAGCCTTTAAAAATTATGGAAATCATAACTGACTTATTCAGTTCTGGATGAGAATATCTAAACACAGACTCAGTAAATATATGGTATATTTTAAAATTTCCCTTGTAAGGTAACTATGTATATGTATTATACACAAGTTAACTGCACTTCTGTCTATTGCACCAATCTTAACCAGAAACACTTTCATTCAGCACACACCATGCCAACTTCCAACATTTCATACAAATATTATGCTTCTGGACATTATCCATCATCCCATTTTTATTTAAAGCACAATGTTTCAGAGACTGGATTATGGAATATCAAGATACACAAACCTGACATCTCCCTTAGACCAAAAGTCAAGATACACAATCCTGACATCCCCTTAGAAAAATAGTTACTTCTATTGACTCTCCCTGTTATGCCCTAGCAGATTTTCTTCACAAGATCCTGAGCTCTCTTGCTGGCAATACAGACTTTTTCATGAAGAACTAAGAACACTTCATAAAATGAATACAATCAACTTTCAAAATGAAGACTACCTGGCAAGTTATGATGTCAGTCAATTCAAAAACATACCAGAAGGATTTGAACACCAAAATCAGACATGACTTGATATTTAATGAATACCCATACAATTCATTGACTGTGTAATGAAGGCACTGAGAAGCAACAGTCTGTCTTCAGATGCAATATACCAGGGCACTGTCATTATCACATATGTTAAAGGTACCTCCGAGAAATTCGGATGTACTTGAAGCAGTTTCAATGTCACGACCATTTTCAAAACAAAATGTACCCTCTTTGAGATGTTGATGAAAAATGGACCTGTTAAAGACGTCCTACAAGTGAAGCAGTGTGTGTACAATATCCCATGTTATTGTACCAAATGTTATACTGGTGAAACAAGTACACATTTAGAAGTATGCATTAAGGAGCACAAATATAACCTGACACAACGTCTGCTCAAAAAATCAAAATTAGCCCAATATGCGTATGAAGAAGGTCACAAAATATGTTGGGAAGAAGTGAAGGTTTTCCAGACTGAACCAAACACAACACACACGAAATACAAGGAATCCTCCAACATCTATCTGATAGACTAACCAATTAGTCAACATAGCTTGGACATCTCTGCCAAACTGGACTCCCATTATCACAGCAGAAGAAAAAAAGACCAACAAATACACAACTCTGTCCTCTGTAGTATTAAGAGGAAAATTTGTCTTTTTAGGTTGGTATCACAGAGAGAATTTACCTCTCGAATGATGGCTTCTATTCGGATAGTACTCTGATGCTAGGCCTCATCGGTGTGAAGTTCTTAATGTTTTGTCTTAACTCTTGCAGATGGTTTGCGCTGTGCTTGATCTGTATACCATACCTTGTGTTGGCACAGGTGTCCAACGATAGGGACTAGCTCTATTGATTTGGCCCAACTGAGTGCATTTTACCTGAAGATGGAGACAGAATCCAGTATTCGAAACATTGTGTTTTAAATACAAACAGGACGAAGGACAATGTAAAGGAACTTAATAAAAGGTAAAGTTGTCCCCGTACTTAACTAAGTAAGCACTACACCATGGCATGTAGGGGAGTGGATGTATAGACCCACGTTTTCTTGACCTCAGCAATAGTTGGAGGTGAGTGATCAGCTTCATGCCCTGGCCACTTTACACCCAGGGAAAGAGCCCCTCGTACCCATTGGATAGGAAGTTGGGTGTACCCCAGAGCTGGTCTGGATGACGTGGACAATAGAAAATTCTTGACCCCACTGGAACTAGAACTCCAACCCTTCAGTTGTCCAGCCAGTAGCTAGTCTCTATACTGACTATGCTATCCCAGCTCACAGACAAAAGAACCATAATGTTTGCATTTATATACCATCACCGAAAACTTTTGGATTTTATTTACCACACTCCAGATTATAAATAGACAAGGAAGAAAGAGAAATAAAATTTCTTTTGTGAATCATTTATATAAAAAACAGTGTATTTACATCTTCAAGCTTCTATTGAGTGAAATAAATAAGTGCATGTTCATGGCAAGCAGTCAAACACTATTATCATAAGCCTATGATAGTATGAAAATGTGCCAGCAAAATCATATTAAAAATTTATTAAATGTTTTAACAAACCTATGGCTGTACCAAGACTACAGAGCTTAAGAAACCTTCAAGATATGGCTAAATAGAAGGGAAAAAACTGAAGAACCGAATTTTTGTAACTCACATGTATGAAATAGTATGGTTATTACAATGGATGCACTTCCACCAGTTAAATCTTCAGAATTTCAATACAAAACTCTTCATGCAAAACGCAACAGATTTCAGTGGTATTCTAAAATTTCACTTAAGTAAACCATCATTAAAATGCATTCAAAATACTGAAAATGGGGGCAATTTATCTTAAATATATGGCTAAAAAGTCTGCTGGTAAGATGTCCTGAATACTTTGATATATGTGTATATTGTAACATAGATGGCCAGAGCATTGCTGGGTAACTGACTAGTAAACTTATGCAATACACGCTGGCAACAGTGGAACAACAAGGTTATGCAACCCACTTCTAGGCAATCGTTCAGTAAATAGACTTCTGCACAGGCACAATGATATCACACTGCAACAGGGTAGCTATCATGTAACTGGCTTTCTATTCAGTCCGTGCCACGACCATTACTATTCAATCACTCAATAAACACGTTCCAACAATATATTCTGTTTTCTGAGTGGCCAGTATATAATGACAGTTATAGACAGAACAGATGTCAGTATTTGGGAGTATTTGAGCGTGTTTAAGTGTTTAAGGGACAGCCACAGGAAGTTTGTCATGTGAAGACTTGGTGTGTTATTGGATTACTTTAATTATATGTAATACTTGGAGTGATCTGAAGTGACAGTTTCTGTGTGAAACATCCAAACTACGCTGTGCAGTCCAAAAGTTCCCAAAATATATTAATAAAAACTATAACATCTTACCTAGATCTTATTCTGCACCATCACCTTCAAAGTAGTCCCCTTGGGAGCGCGTACAGCGATCCCAGCATTTCTGCAACTTTTCAAATGCATCCTGGAAGTCTTTCTTTGTTAGGGTGTTTAGTACCGTCTGCATTTCCGCTTGAATTTCCTCAACTGTATCAAATCTTCACCCCTTCAACTTGATTTTCATCTTGGGGAAGAGAAAGAAGTTGCATGGAGCTAAGTCTGGCGAGTACGGTGGGTGGGAAACAACTGCCATCTTGTTTTTAGCCAAAAATTCCTGCACAATGTAAGCCGTATTAAGTCGTGCGTTTTGGCCGAGGTGAAAAAGGGCTCTTCCATTGCGACGATTGCTGCTTGATTTCAGGGTTGTAGCCATAAACCCAACTTTCGTCACCAGTGACAACCTTCGAAAGAAAGTTTGGATCCTCTTGAAGCTGTTGCTGAAGTTCCCTGCAGACTTCCAAGCGATGCTGCTTCTGTTCATTTTGCAGCAGTCGTGCCACAAACTTCACCGCAATCCTCCTCATGTTCAGTTCCTCTGACAAAATTCGTTGACATGTACCATGACTTAGCCCCAAGGTGTTACAGAGGTCTTGGATGGTCAGTCTACGATCTTGCAGAATCAGATCCCTAACTTTAGCGACATTTTCTGGTGTTTTGCCCGTTGACGGCCGTCCCGAATGATCATCATTATCAGTCGATGTTTGGCCATTTGTGAAACGCTTATATCAGTCATAAGTTTGTATCTGGCCTAAACTCTTGTCACCAAAAGCTTCTTTCAACATTTGGTGCATTTCTGCAGCGGTTTTCCCAAGTTTGAAAGAAAACTTTATACAGACACGCTGCTCTCTCAGGTCAGCCATCGCAAAACCGCAAACTCACGGAAACACAACCCAACCACTCAACTCGATGCTGCTTGCCACACTGATTCAAGAAGGATGTGTGAGGAGACACCTAGCGGTATTTCGATGTACTCATAACCATTCGCGTGCAAAATTCAAATTTCAGAAACTTTTGGATTGCCCCACGTAGAACCCGTCATTTCATCATGCATTCCCCCCTACTTGTGAGAGTATTGTGATGTATTTGCGCTATGTAGGACACCACCGCCCCCCACCACCAGTTATGTAACAGCATCAGAGCACTGTTGCTGCTACGGTAACAGGCCAGTCAACACTCCGCCCGCCTTCCCCACGGTGAAATAACAGCACTTCCCACTGTGATGTAACAGGGGATACCGCTGTTGACACAGGCAACAGGGAACGGTATAAAAAGCCAGCTGAGCAGTATGTGATGACAGTGTGATCAGGAGTGACACAGTGTGGATCGTGAAGTCGCTGAGTGCAGCGGAAGTTAGCTGCAGTCTAGCATTTGCTGGAGTGAATGGAAACAGCAAAAGTATTTGTGATACTGCAGATGGCAGTAATCATGTAATTGTGAACTGTGTAATTGTGAGAATGAATGGAATAAATCTGCTACATTCAATACAGCGTAAAGTTATTTGTCGCATGACATATACCCAACATGTGACAGTATTATTCAATTATCATCACTTTTAGCATAAACATATATAAAACAAGTTCACAGTACATATATCTGTTTTATAAAGATAAGTTATTACCCTCTAACATACAGAACTTTTCACATGTGCCCTACAAACCCAAGACGCAGAAAATCTTGATCTCAGTAAAAACATGTGGGTCTGACATACAGTGACATAAATAAGCAAACTTACTTACACAGATGTCTGTGTAGTCCAAGATTTATACAGCATGCACAGAATATATTTATATGCAACAGTTTCAGGACAGAGAAAATTCATTTTACCTGAAGAATGTTTAAATTCTACAGAAGACACAAATCGAATGGATGATTTCTGTAGTGGTAAGGAACTGTCAAACTTCTGACTTGACAATTTACGTTCATCACTAGCAGAAGAAGAGGAAGACTGATGGGACTTGTCTGAAACATTCCACAACAAAACAAAGTACAGCAGTGTGACTAACAGCTTTGTGATTCACATTTCCTAGTGAATGGCATGACAGATTATAGGGTTCCATCCACTTTCTGTAGCTTACCTGCATGCATGTGTGCACACGCGCACACACACACACACACACACACACACACACACACACACACACACACTAATAGAATTCAATTTCATTCCAGAAACCAAACCAATGTTTAATAAGAGGTTATTATATGATGGAATTTATTAATTATTATCAAGGAATCTGCTGATATATTCAAAGCTGTACATGGATGCTTTGTTCACAGTTTCCAGTCAAAGGGAGTGCTGGAAATAAAAGTTCCATTCTTGCATTTGAAATCAGAGTCATTCTTGTATAAAAATTCCATTACCAAATTTAAGCAAGACCCCATAATTACTCTTAATGGAAATAAAAGTTAAATGAGGAAGTACAACAATTTGTCTTCATATGACATCAAATATTAATATATATTTTTTAAATATTCCTCCACAAGGGTCAATTTAGTTCTGAATTCTACATTTCCAGCTATTAAAGAAAACCCAATGACAAGGAAAGACTTCAAAAACTATAATGAGCTTTCCATGCTAAGATAACTTGCATCATATTACCTCAATGAAAGAATAATAACACAGATATAGTCAAAAGATGTGGGTTTGATCCAGTTTTGATGAAAATGAATCCATCTGTTAAAGTTCAGAACAGTCTAAGAAGTCACAAACACATGAAACTATTTTTATCCATTAATATTTGTGAACAGATATGCTTCACTAATCACATGTGATGCCTTATGAACTTCTGATAATTTTGTACTCTGCCCTTCTAGCACAGAATGATGAGGATGACTGTCATGGATTCCATGCTATAATGGGTACCTTGTATTTTCTATGTTCACTAAACTGTTAATTTGCCAGAGATGAGAGATTGAGAAGGTATTCAGCTAAATCTTCACTGAATCTTGCCAGCTCCAGCACCTTCTCCCTAGGTGAATGTGCTTCTCACTGAGACTGATAATTAGAATTCTTTAATATGGTGTTCATAAAGCAAAGTTTTAGTCTCTAATCTCCTGTAATCAGTTCAAGAACAGGCTTAAAAAATTCTGTATTCACTCTTTGTTCATGCAATGATCTATACCAAAGAAATTATTCTCATAACAGTATTCAGTTATCACAAGAACAAAAATTACATTTTATGCTGGCTCAAGATTTTTAATTTTAGCTGAATTTTATGGCATATACAACAGTCCCAACATGAGGCATTAGTATATTTTTAAACTGAAATATTTAATCCTTGAGCGTGTTAGTGGTGAAAAAGAGTTAATCAAAATTAATCATTTGTAGAAAAATGTAATTTCACTTCTTTGACATGAATGTCCTTCTGGTACTCCTTCAGTTGGTCTTTGGCTTTCGAACTGTGTGGCAGTTTACTGAAATTCAGAATGTTATTTCCACCACATTCTGCAACTGTAACAAAAACCAATGATGAGAAGGAGAGATGTAATGAGAGTGATACAGAGCTTCAGGAAGACAAGGAGTTTGCCACCCACAGTGGTCATTACTGTTGAAATAAAAGCATTTGATATTATATTTGATAGGGCCAAACTGGAGGGGAATGTAAAGATAAGGGCTAAGGTCCCTGTGAGAACACTGGCACCAGCAACTGAGCATCACACAACTAAATGATCTGTATCCTGGTAGATTGGAGATGACAGTCATCTCAAAAGTGACTGTCAATGGACAAGTGATGAGGAAGCCAACCAAGACTAGGGATATGTGTAAGGCTCAGCAGTGAAGAGGGGGCTGCCTGCATCATCCCACTCATCCACTCATTTCACACTCACTCCACCTAAGTGGAGTGACAACAGCCTAATCACCAAGGACTGGATGGGGGACATGCAATGCTACCTGGCCATTGCCAGATCTGACATCACCACAGTCATGCCCAAGTTGGCCATGTGTTCTGCAGACTCAATCATCCTCAGAGACCCTTCATGTCTTGAATGAGGTGCTGGCAGAGGTGACTCTGAGGTGGATCATGCTACAAATGTAGATGTTCATTGTAAACATCACAGGCGAATTCATCCTGGGACTGGACATCCTGTGAACCTATGATATGCTGGTCAATTTGAAGTGCAACATGGTACAACTGGGTGAAGAAGAGGCGTTGATGTGTCATCCTGAAGCCCGACAAAGACTGTCCCTGCTGACCGTGGCAAGCTATGTGGTGATAACAGTCAATGCAACAGGGTGGTGACTGCATGGCTGTAAGGTGCCCAGAGATGGAAAACTTCCTAGGGGAACCCAGCTCCAAGACATATCAGCAAGAGGGACTGCACATAGCCATGATGATGGTTCAGGTTCAACAGGAAATGTCCCTCAGAGCCATGAATGTGTGACTCCAAAATCAGGTTTAGAGAGAAGGCAATATAATGGTCCGCTACAAATCTGTAACGCTGGTGGTGCCTGCCAAAGTTTTGGAACCTCAAACTCCAGGATTGGACAGTTCAGTGAACAGCTAAACAAGGCAACGTTCAACACCTGGCTGAACCTCAATGTCAAAGAAATCTGACAATTAGAGAAGTCAGTGACTGAATTCCAGGAACTCCTTCCAGTGGTGAGTAATGAACATGGGAGGAGAGATAGAGTTTACCACCGTATCAGGACTGGCGTCACCTACCCAATTTACCAGCAATCCTGTGCAGACTCATGTAGACAATATGCTGAAGGATGTGAAAGAATGAGAGGTAATCGAGGAGATGAAAATTGCTTGGTCTCTGCCCGTCATGCTCGTCAGGAAGAACAGGGACATTCGGTCCTCTGTGAAATACTGACGGCTGAACAAAGTTTGAAATGAGGATGTCTTGCCACTAAGAACATATGATACCGTGGATACATCCATCAGGGTAAAGCAGTCCATTACCCAGGATTTGGAAAGTGGCTACTGACTAGTTGCCATGCACACCAGTGACAGGGAGAAGAGCATTTTCTGGCCAACAGAAGCTGCAGAAGTGAACATTTTTTCCCTTTAGCCTTTGCAAAGCTCCCACAAGATTCAAGTGCTTTAAGTAGAGTGTCCTGCAGGGCCTTTGTTATGATGTCTGAATGGTGCACCTGGTTGATGTAATAACCTTGGCTGGATGTTTCAAGAGTAGCTGACACCTGCGGAAGTTTTTCCAGAAGTTCCAATCGGCCCAACTCAAACAGAACTCACAGAAGAGTCAACTGTTCCAGAAGGATGTGTGGTACCTGGGACTTGAAGGAGTGACTGTAGACACAGAAAAGCTGGAGGCTGTATGGGAATGGTCACCACGCAAGATTGAGTAGTGTCCATTTCTGCACCTATTACTGGAGGTTCATACTTGGATTTATGGATATTGGCCAAGCCACTGACTCAGCTGCCTCCTCTTCCAGGAAGATGTCACTATTGAGTGGGTACTGGATTTACTGACCTCTTATACACTCAAAACTCGTGACTACACTTTACTCATCACTGTTACAAATGCTAAGTCATTTCTAGCCTATAGTGTCTTCACTAGTAATTGCCTGGTAAATGCTCGAACAATGACTGCTTCTGGGTTCAAGTCCTCTCTGAATGACAGTTCCCTTCCAACTGGACACAGTCAAGGTCAGTGTTACTTTACAAGGGGGGACCCAAAAATAACCGAAATTTATTTTTGTTATTTTTTATTTTGCATTTTTATTGAACTGTATGTTAGTCCCCTTCAAAGTATTGTCCATGTGCATTAATGCACTTGTCCCAACGCTTTTGCCACTGCTCAAAACAGTGCTGGAATTCTTGAGGCTGGATACTGTTNTGGTGAAGCAACCAGTTCCCATTTCTCCACATTTCGGACCGTTTTCGTCGCACACTCTCTCATAATCTTCGTAACACATCCAGGTAAAAATGTTGGTTCACTGTTTGTCCTGGCGGAACGAACTCTTTGTGGACAATGCCATTCACATCATAAAACCAAATCAACATTGTTTTCACATTGGATCGCACTTGACGCGCTTTCTTCGGTCGGGTGAAGTTGGAGTTTTCCACTGGCTTGATGATTGCTTTGATTCTGGATCATACCCGTAGCACCAAGACTCATCACCAGTCACAATTCTTTTAAGAAATTCTGGATCGTTCTGCACTTCACTCTTCAAGGCGCGGCAAACATTCACGCGGTTTTCTCTTTGGTCATCTCCGAGCAAGCGAGGAACAAATTTTGCAGACACCCGTCTCATGTGCAAACCTTCGGTTAAAATTCGCTGGACCGTGCTCCATGAGATGTTCGTTTCCTCAGAAAGTTGGTCAATGGTCTTTTGACGATCTTCATCAATTTCACGCACACTCTTTGTTCCTTCTGGTCGGCCATCTCACTAATCGCCAAAGGGTTGAAACAGGAACGCAGACAACAGAGCACTACAGACAAACCACTTAACTCAGACTGACGCCAGCTCACTAACAGTCACGAAGACCCCCAGCTAACACCACCTAGCAGCACAACTTGTAACTAGAAAGCATGCGCGCGCAACAGGTTGGTTCCGGTTATTTTTGGGTCCCCCTTCGTATGTCTGGTGGTTTACCACCAATCAGTTTGTCCTGGTATAAAGCCCCTTGGGACCTAAGACCAGAGATTGTTTTAACTGAACACTTGCAGTAACAGTTCTCACATCCTCTCTGATGAGATGGGTTTGTCTCTGATGAATATGCTTGGCTTTCCTGAAGCATATCATTTACATATACACTGTACAATGTGGGGGACAGGATGGAACCCAGTGGCATTCTTGCTCCTATATTCCTTGGTGCAGACAGTTCACCTTCAACAAAACGCTGAGTGTTCTCTGAGAAGAGCTAATAAGCTTGATTAAACTGATCAAAAATTTTAATTTTGATAATTTATACACCAAGCAAAGGTGCAATGTTGTATCAAATGCTTTTTCAATATCCAAGAATACAGCAGCCGTGACATGTTTCTGCTCA